TGCATAGTTGTCAGTTTTGATAGTACTGTAGTGAGATGTCCCCTTCAGAATCCTTTGGCTGTATAAATTTACACTGTCACACGTGATTCACTTCTGGTCACAATCTATGTCAAAGTCATGGTGTGGAATAGAAAAATCAGTATCCTTAGGTAAGGATGTATCTGCTGTGAAACCCAGTTAAGTCTTTTGCTGTTGCTTTCCATTCAGTGTCTAGGTAAAATAACAGTATCATAGCTGTCACTTAAAATAATACTTTTTACATTCAAGCATGTTAGAGTTATTTTAGGAACCAAATATAAAGACGGTGGTGTTATTATTTTGTATATGTAGATCATGTGGGATCTGTGCATGCCATTGAAATTAGGAGTGGTAGTGATCCAGAATTAACTAGGTGCCTTCCTGCCAGCAGTAGCTGACAGCATTCTGTAATACACAGAAAAAGATACATGTTTTTGTGGAGTGAAATTTCAGCAACTGTTCTCTTTTCATAAATAATCTACTTCCTGCACTTTATATACCTAGTTGTTAACTGATCTGTTTTAAATGCCTAGGCTGGAAACACAGCACTATGTCGGTGTATTTAACTGGCCAAATTCAAGGACGCAGTCAACTGTTTGTATAAACAAGGCTCTTTCTGAGATTTGTTTGGGATCTTGGATGTATTTTATTTGTCATGTGTGTTGTTGGAAATTACAGCCAGGTAGGATGACGCTACTTTTATTTCTCTTCTATTAAATCCTATGAAAGGTAGATTTTCCTGACCTAGTAAGGAATGATTGTAGCCAGATGGTAATACACAATTTAGCAGCACAAATATCTATTAGAAATTTTTGCTTGCTTTTCTTGCCCCACTCAGTATTTTGGGCAGATGGACACTAGCTGTTGATTGGCAGGTTTGAGATTAGAGCAGCAGGGTAAAGCAGGTGTGCTAGCTGAGCAGTGTGGGGACTCCTGTGTATCTTCTCCCCCTCTTACGCTTGGTTCTTTTAGTATAGGCTGTTTGCTGCATGAAAAATCATGTATTTACAGAGTGTTGTTGAAAAAGAGCTGGGGAGCATAGAGCAGGGTGCATACCGATTGGTGATTCTTCAGGACTTGGCTCAGAAGGTCAGTTTCAAATAATGACACTAATAAATTAATTTTTAAATAATGACTTGGACTAATGAGGTCTATAAGGTCTTATTTTATCAGTTATGTTTCCTTATTGCAACTTGTGTAATTGCCTTCCCTCAGCGATGGGGAGGGGGTCTGCTCTCTGGCACTTTGAATTGGGTACACATGACTTACCGTTGAAACTTAATTATTGAGTCTGTTTCTACTACCTTGTTGCTTTTATTTGGCCATTTATGGGAGTGCGTTCAATTAGCTTTTGAAAAGCTCTTTTTCACGTAGACAGTTTATTTTTTGTAATGGCCTTCTATTGTGCAGAATCACCATTAGGTCAGCAAGGTAAAACAATGACGCAGATGTGCCATGAAACATTAAAAAGTGTAGACTCCTGGAATATGCCATTAGCTATCTTTTTGAAAGAATGCAGCACACTTAATGTCAGGACTTACGTGGGAGGCAAAGAGAAAGTGTTTCTTGAAGTGATCATGTGCAGCCACGTTCTGTTGGCATGTCTAAAATAGGTTAAAAAGCACATACTGTTTACCTATTCAAATTCTAAAACAATTCTGTCTTGGGACATATCCCTTTTAAATGCAGAGGCTCCTCCTGAACAGTAGAAGCCCAGTGAGTGAGAAAACGAGACCATTCCACCCCATCCCAGCCCCGGTCCGTGCCTCTGTGTACAGGATGGCTGTAAGGGAAGGGCATGATCCTAGTGACGGTACAATGGTCGCACTCCTGCTGTGCACAGCCAGCTGTGCATTATGAGGGGTAGTGAGAGGGGAGCACCTGAGCGAAGAGACCCTTCTGTAGCCCAGAGCACTGTGCAGAGAGACTTGAGTATTTCCCTGGAGAGCCAGATGGGATCTGGCAGGCCTGTGCTGAGCCAAAGCTAGTAAACTCTTGCTGGTCTCGTGCTGATCTGTGTGTAGCTATGGATGTGTACCAGCACCTACCTCTTCAGGCCTACCAGCTCAAGAATCAGGCTTCGTGAGTTAACTTAGAAGTGCTGAACTGCCGCTGCATGCAAAAGTACTCCAGAAAGTGTTGCATGAATTCTGTGTTGTGCCAGAAAATCCTCCTGGACCTGTGCTTCAGCACCACACTTGGGGCTTGGTGTGTCCCTAAGGTGCGTGCATGTAGGTGTAAAATTGAGAACAGATTATAGTAGGTTGTTTTGTGATGCTGTTTATTTTCTTAACTTTTTCTCAACTGTAGAGATCCCGATGGGGATGACTGTCTGCCTCCTCTAGTATGTTAACCCTTCTTGTCAGGCCTAGTTGCACTGTATTATTGCATCTTTTGGGATATATTGCAACAATATGTTTGGAACACGAGAGACTCTGATGAGATGTTAGCAGAATCTTCTTTGCACGGAGGGTGGTTAAATGCTGGGACAGGCTGCCCAGAGAGGTTGTGGAATCTGTGTCCCTGGAGGTGTTCGGGGCTCAGCTGGACAGGGCCCTGAGCAGCCTGATCTAATTAGCCTTGCTTTGAGCTGGGGTTTAGAGTAGACGACCTCTGAACGTCCTTTCCTATCTAAGTTACTGTATTGTTCTGTGGTATTTTTAGCTTTTATTCCTCAATGTTCCACCAAAGTGAAAAGTATCTCTCCCTTTTCGGGGGCTGCGTATGGATGGTTATAAGTTCACATACTGAACATTTGTCTAACCAAGAGATCTAAAGAGTTTGACGCTTAATGCTGTGTTGATTTAATGTGCAGTAGTGGTAGCGTTATCTGCTGCATTTCTTTTAACACTTGTTTAATGCCATAAAAGCTGAAATGTCACCAGAGTTGTATTGTGGAGAAGAGCATAGTAAAGGGTAAATGAAACTAAATTTCTCTTCTATAAATGTATTTTAAATGTCTCCTAAATCAGAACTGTCTCTGACTTAATTAGCTTGGGCTCCCATAAGTTGACTTTACTCTTGCTGGAATAGCTAGATGCAGCTTGAGAAGTATGAAGTGGAACTCTTGTGAAAAATAGACCTATTTAGAGGGAGGGATGGAAAAATTATTGTTCCCAAAGCAGACAGAGTGTTTAGTGAAAAACACGCTGGGTGGTAGTGGAGGAAGAAACGTCCCAGTTTCCCACTAGCTGTATGCGAAACTATCACATTTCAGTACGTTAGATGATGACACAGAGAGGGTGGTATGAGGAATGACCCCTGGAGTGGTATTCGCTTAGGATCTTGGCTGGGACCTCCTTACGGGGTGTGACTGGTGAGCCACGGGCAGTTGTGTTCATGTCTGGCTCTTCTGGTCTTCTGTTCTACTGCCTCACACTTGGACTTGAAAGCTACTTAATGGAATAATTAAGAGACTTTTGGGGAGGAAAAGCAAAAAGTTTAAGGACGAGAAAGAAATACATTGCACAAGGTATGGCTAAAGTAGAATGAAGGGGAAGGAGAATTGAGTGATTCTGAAGACTATGAGAAAAGATAGGAAAATGTGTTAAAGGGAAGAAGAGGCAGTAACCTCAAAGGAGAATGAAGTTGAGACAAATGACATGGACAGGCATATCTAAGACCTCCAAGAACCTACTTACAGCAAGTAGACTGTCTTAGATGTCATGTTACAGTTTAGTGTAAGGAAGCATGTACTGTATTCCTCAATTTACAAGTGGCTCGGCGAGCAGCTGTTACCACTCTGGCTAGTAGGTCTAGTGATTTGGCTGCTATATGGGGAGTATGTATGTATTCATATATATGTGTGGGGATTATACACACACACACACACACACACACATATGTAAAAATGTTACATCCTTTTCTAAATGATTTAACTTACTGGGAAACAAGTACAGCTGGAAATAGCAATGACCTGCAGATGTCATTGCAGAGACAAATTGCTGTTACGACTTTGGATGGACACTGCTGAAAATATTTAAATGACATAAAAATAACCACATGTAGCACAAGAGACATTGTATGTGAAGTGATACTTCTTCATGAGTCGTCATTTTCTGCTGAAAGTGTTATGCAAAGCTAACTGCTGTACTTTTTTCCAAGGTTCTTTATGTGGTTCTGCTGGTTTGGAGTACGAACATGATGATCAGTATTCTGCCTATGAACAGTGCTCAGATTTAGATATTGGCTATTGGAAATTGTGATGGTCCTCTGGGCTTGTACTCTGTGGTGTATTTTCCCTTGACACTGACTATAAAGTAGGCCACACATTCTCAAAAATTCCTTGAATGGAGGAACTACTTGCTGCTCTGAATTGTGCTTTAAAAGTTAATATTTTAACAATTATTTAAGTTAAAAAAAAAAATAACCAAAATGAAACAAACAACTAGATGGATAGATGTCTCACAAAGACAGCTTGTGTGCAGCTACTATGTGCCTGCTTGAGTTGGTAGTCTATCTTTTGATAACTAAAAACTACTGCTAACAGTGAAACATAATGAATTACTTTAGATATCAGTGTTAATGATTTCATTGCTGGCTTTATTTTATCACCTAGGTCATGTGGTTTATGCACAGTTGGAAATGACTGTATTTCACTGGCCAAATCTTCAACTGGTTTCTGTCCTAAAATTCGTTAATCTCTCTGACTGTAGTTAAATGATTGCAATGCAAAATTCTGCTGTGAGCTGAGAATCAATTCTAGGATAGGAATTGTATGATAAATATCTTATTAAAGTTACTGCAAGAACAGTTTAAGGGTTATGTTTTTAAATAGTAAAAATGTATTTACTGGATTTTTTTGGGACTCTTCCACCTAGCAAAAGGATTTTAATAAAAAAAATACCCCAAAACATTGGCACAGAGTCTGGCTTTAACCTGACCTATGGAACATGGGATTCAGTTTTCATCTTGACCAGTGTTTTGTTGTTGACTTCTGTACTGTATCTGTAATGACAGACTTCTGGCTTCCTTCTTTATAGGCTCAGATTATTCCTCAGTGGGATGGTTACCTGGCACTGAATCCCTGTGGCAGTCCACAACCATTTCATCAAGCAGTCAAAGCAATCCTGTCAGAAGACACAGTATAGCTTCCGACAGTGGGGACACTGGGATTGGTACCTCCTGTTCTGATAGTGTGGAAGGTGAGTTGACACTGTTAAGTTTTGGATGTTTCTGAGAGAGAAACAATCCAAAATGTTTTAAATGTATGTTTCCCAGAATAACGGTACTTTTCCAAAGCTGTTGAGCGCGTGCAGTTCTTTGTTTTCCTGGCTGGACCAAGTAATTGTTTTGGTGAGGTTTAATTAATTTACTTCTGCATGAGTTGTGTGTATTAACTTGCATCTCTGCCACAAAGCCAGTACTTGTGTTAGATCTTTTGATAATTGCAGTTACAAGAAGTGCCAGATTTATACGGAGAAGTAATATCCCATACTACAGCACTTGATAAACAAGGTAAAAGCAGAAAAACTTCTGAGGTAGTTGATGAAAGGACAATGCTTTCTGGTATTTACTGTGTGTGTCAGCAAAGAAAGCTTACTCATTGCGGCTGGGAGGAAAATGGGGCGTATTGTCTTCTCATTTCTTTCTTCTGGTGGGAAATATGTTTACATTTTATTGCATGGCGTTTAACACATAGTCAAAGATCTTTAAGGAAAATCAACAGTATCTGAAGGTTGTTAAAACTTAGTTTGGACTAAATCATGATTACTCAAAGTTGATCTTATCAGTGAGGGGTTCAGCCTCTAAGGAAGCAGCATCTCCACAACATTGGCATCCTCCCTATGGAATATGTCACTGGAATGAAGCGTGAATGAGAGATACTAGGCAGTAATAAGGACACTATGCCTGGTAAATTTTTCAAAACGGGTAGCTGAAATGAGGAAGAACAGGAGGAATTAGTAGAAATGAAGTAAGGAATGCTGAATCAATGTAAGAGACAGAAGTCTCTATGGTGGGGCTGAGCATTCCTGAGGAGAAGTCTGAATGCCTCAGATTTAAGCCTGTCAGGCCTCTTTGCACACGAGGAAATCCTTTCTGCCCTCTTCCTCTTGCATCTGTCAGTTGGAAAGGAACTCCGTAGGAGTGTCCTCATAGCTTTCTTTCTGCTTACTTTCATTTCTAAACCTTTATGGGCTTTGGCAAAATACAGATTTTCATCAAATACTCAAATTCTTGGGTGTAAAACTGAAATAGTAAATGGTTATTAATGCAGAAGCCTTATTGCTTTTTCTTTTCTTTTTTCTTTTAAGAGCTGTAGGGGGAATAAAGCTCTCTCATAGTGTGTGTGTATATATAGATTTACAATCAGAATCACCCAAGTGTTGCACAATAGTATTTTAAGATGCAGCATTTAAATTAAAAACATGCTCTTCCCCTCCCCCCCTTTGAGGGCTTCCCCATTTGAGGAGTGAGAGGAAATGAAACAGCACCTCCTCATCAGATGTCCTCCTGGCTAAAGAGCAGAACAGAACGACTGTTCTTGGGGGTGGGGGGTGGGGGGGATGGCACGCTGATACAATCACAAGTTTGATAGGCATTTGTTACCAGTTAACTAATAACTCTGTCTGTTTGCATGCTTTTAATAGAGCATTGTTACAAGCTGCTTTTGGGGTTTCTCAAGGTAAAATAAAGAGGGAAAAATTGCAACAACAGATAGTTCATGAAGTTTGTGTCTCTGGCAATGCTTGACAACAGTGAGTTCTACTATATCCTTAACGTTAATGATTTCCTACCACCTTGTTTGAAAAACTCTTCAGTAGCAGAAAATAAAATGTTAAAGAAAAAAGGAGGGAAACCTAAATGTAAAATGAAAGTTAATGGAGGGAGCATATGACAGGTTTGGAAATTCAGTGTATACGTACATTTTTAGTGGAAAGTGCTATTGCCTGCGATACCTAGTTGTCTGTATCTCTCAAGCTGCCCCCTCCCCGCATCCAGAAGAATAAGAGTATCATTGTGATCTGTGGGACTGCCAGGCCAGACGTAATTGCAGACTTGATGCTGGCCATCTGCTCTCAATGTGGTGCTCGGGAAGAAGCCCTTGGGGATTTTTCAAAGGAGTATTTTTTTCATACGTCAGCAGATCATTACAATTTTTAACAATGCGCAGAGAATGAAATGTGGCTTTGTTAGTTCCTTTCTATTATGCCTACTAAAAATCAAAAACTTAATTTCAGAATTAACATCTGCTTTAATTCTGGAAGTCGCAGGTGAATTCATTTGTGCAGATGTGTAGTTACTAGTACATACACTGGTGCAGGGAGTGGAGCTCAGATGCATTTTAAAAACTATTTTTACTGTTTTTTCTTGCATCTTAAATGTTCCTTTAAATTCACCTTTTTACTTCATTTCAGGAGCATTCGCTGTCTTTGAAAGTGCAGGCTTTTAAGAATAGTGCCAAGTGGCTCTTGTGTTTGGCTCAAACCTATATGGTTTGGAGAGGAGATGGGTTTTGACAAAGGCAAGAGGAAGAGAAATCTTTGTTAAAATGTATTCATTTGGTTGTCTCTATATTATGTTGTGCAAAAGTAGGAAAACTAGGAAATGAAATAACTAATTGAGTTTCATTATTGAAGTTGAGCAATGTTGATGTGCACTGGGGGAAGCTGAGGAGAGAAATTTAGAAATTGTAAAAGTGACGATCTTAGTTTGGGTAGAATAGATCTTAAATTTCTAATTCGGAGTGCTCTTAATTTAAAAAGAGTCATGTAAAAAGGCATTTTTATCTGTGTAAACTACAGTTAATGTGGTTGGGTTGGTTGGTTGGTTTGTTTCCTGTCAGTAAGTGGTTCTGGATTCAGATCAGCTTTTGAGCGAGATAAAAATAATTACTGTATTCTGTATGGAGCAGGAGGAAAAGATTTTGGTACAGTCTTTTCCAGGTTCTTTTCTTTTTAAACTTACCTCTACTTGTAAGTCAGCTCTGTTATTACTGTTTTCAGCTTACCCTGTAGAAGTCTGACTGAATAGTTTACTCTTGGGCATTGATTGCAGCTGGTCTTCAGAAAAATCTCATATCATCTGTTAAGAAATATAGCGGAAGCGGAATGTAGTGCCCTATGAAACTTTTGAAAAGTTCCTGCATTTTTGATAGGGTAGGAGGTTGTGTTCAGGATGAATCATGTGGAAGCAAAGGTTTTAGTTGGTGGCCAACAGCTGATCAACTGTCAGTGAAGACACTCTGAACCTTCTTGTTCTTGTTTTCCTTCTCACTGGCAACTCTGAAATTGGCAGATGTAACATTTGTGGCTTATGCTTATAGGGACAAAAGACAGCTCCCAACATCAAACAGCTAACAGCTGTGCTATGTGTAGGTCTTTATGTATAGGTTGCCTCTTAAACTTCAGACTTTGACCAAAAGATTGTTGATGCTATTGCAGAACAGAAGCTAAAAGAGAAAACAAGGTTAAGGGGAGGTGGGTGGCAGAAAAAAAGCCTCTCTTGTAATGAAAAAGTGCAGTTATAAAGTTCTGAAAACTTTCAGTTACAGGATCTTGTGTCTTATCTTGGTGCAACTCAGAAGTCTTTCAAATGGAAGCAAGGAAGAGTTGTAAAACAAATATTTAGAATTCTTTCATGTAGGAAACGTGATGGTTAACTTCTAAATTATGACTTCTCTGATTCTCTGTTGATGTAAAAGGCATGGTTTAGATTAAAGTGCTGCTTCTACAATTTAGAATGTCTATTGGGAAAAAGGTATGAGTTACTGTATGGAAATGTGCAACGTGTTCATAAAGCCCAATGTTTCCTATTCTCCATCAGCAATAATAGCATTTATACTTACAGCTTTAAATAACCATTGTGACACTTATGCCAGTCATCCATCAGTCTCTGTATAGCCATTCTTTCAGTACGATTTACATAAGAAACATGAAGTCTATATTTTAAGCATTTTTGAGACTGTTTTTATTTGGGTTACTTAGTTAGAGAACCAGGTCTTATCAGAAATTAAATGA